CTGACTCCAGGGCCAGTGCTCTATCCACTGCATCACCTAGCTGCCCCAAGAAGCTAATATTCTAAAAGCGTGAATTCAGCATGCATTCCATGCACACGTATACATTCCAGTATTCCAGACATGATGTCTGGAGTATAGTCAGTGATAGTGTTGAGGAGCTGGCAGGGACCTCTGAGATCATCTAGTTCTCAGTCTTCAGTTTATGGATAATGAAAATGAAGGTAGGATTACAGAACATTACAGTTAGGAGGTACCTTCGTGGTCAGTTGACTCCACCTGTGCCTGAACAGGAATTCTCTCTACAGAATCTTCAGCACGTGGGCTCCCAGTCTCCACTTGCAGACTGCTAGGGAAGAGGAACTTGCTACTTCCCCATCCCCTTTTGGATGGCTCTGATTGTCAGGACTTTTTCCTTATGTTGACTCTAAAATTTGCTTCACTGCAGTTTCTCCCTGTTGCTGGTTTCATCCTCTCAGACCAAGCAGACCAAAGCTAATCCCTAGTAGATGATTGGATAGTTGAGTGAGTTTGTGAGCCATCTTCAAATTCACTAGTAGAACAATAGCTAAGGTACTTCATCGTCTCCCCTTTTGAGTCTCAAGTCTGACATACCTGAAATTCATATCCTCCTTACTTCTGCCTCTTGGAATCCTTAGAGTTCTTCCGTATTCCTTTCAGATGCCAGCCCATAGGAAACCTTACTTGATTCTCTTAGTCTAGGGCAAGGCGGGGAGCCTTCAGCCTTGAGGCCACACATGGCCTTCTGGGTCTTCAAGTGCGGCCCTTTGACTGAATCCAAACATCACAGAACAAATCCTGTTTGGATTCAGTCAGAGGGCTGTCTTGAGGACCTAGAGGGCCACATGTGGCTTTCAGGCCACAGGCTCCCCACACCTGGGGAGTTTTAACTTTTTTGTGTCATACACCCCTTTTTACAGGCACAAAATACATGGGATTACAAAGGAAACTAAATATATTGACATGCGGTTGTCAAATTTAAAAAATTCTTTTCATTCACAATCCCAGGTTAAGAACCTTTGCTCTACCACTTTGTGCTCCTTGTCTCCTCAAATTATCTTTTACTTATTTATATCTGTAAATATATCCCCCTTCAGTAGAATGTGATTTCCTTAAGGGCAGGAATTATTTTTAATTTTGTCCTTGTATTCCCAGGACCAAGCATAGTGCCTTGTACGTAGTAAGTGGTTACTAAATGCTTGTTGAGTTGAATTGAATTGAATTGAGTTGAATATCTGAATTTTCAAAGCAGGTACTAGACCTGGTACCAAAGCAAGGCGATGAGTACAGTAAAATGTACTGTTGCTTAACTAGAATTTTCCATTATTTACTGGGAATGAATTTCCTTGAGTCATTTTGGTGATATCCAACTACAATATACCGATTTCTATTACCATGCAAAACATTTAAAAGAATCTTAAGAAGACTAAACAATCCCAGACACATGGATATCAACTCAAATTGTAAAGACTGCTAGGGGAAGAAGGAAAAGGATAAATCATTAAGCACCTGCTATGTGTCTGACTCTAAATCTGCTAAGCACTTTACAGATATTGTCTTATTTGATTCTCACAACAGCCCTGAGAGAAGGGTGCCATTATGATCTCCATTTGACAAGTGAGGAACCAGGAAGACAGAGGTTAAGTGACTTGCCCACAGACACACAGCTACATCAGTCTGAGGCCCAATTAGAACTCTGGGTCTTCTTGACCCAGCCCCAGCCCTCTGTTCACAACCTCCTTGAAGAATTGCCCTGTGGTAGGCTAAACATTGCATAACTTTCTAGATAGGATGTTGTTAGTCATGTCTAAATTCATTTTCCCTGTTAAAATGTAAGCCCGTTTTCTCTTGCTTAACATTCAGTGGAGGTGGAGAGAAGTGATCAATATCTTTGAGAAGCCCTTCCACCTCCATGGAGAAGCCCAGACTTTGTGACCATGATGTGCCATTGCCATCCCCTCACCCTTTTCCTCCTGATTTCTCCCACCTTTTGCCTGGGTCCCTTGCCATTTCCCTTCCCCTCCACCCTGAGGAGACAGAGCTGGACAGAGTTTCATGAAGTGAGAAAGATGGAAGTCTGAGGACTACAGCAGAGAGGAAGAGGCAACCCATCCCTAGATGTTCCCTACCAGATGTGTTCCCCACGGTGTCATCATCTGGAAAAAGGCCCTGGCTGCTGTGCCCATGCTGTGGCTCCATCACTAGTTGACTTACAGGAAGCCACTGTCCTTTAGTTAAAATATCAGCTAATGCAAACCTGGATAATTGTAAACCTAGTTTTTCTGACCTTTTGCATTTTAAGTTGCAAAGGTTTTATACATTAGTTGAACATTAAATAATTTAAAAACATGGGTAAAAAGAAATCTTTCCCCCAGATCTTCCCTTCTTTTCCTCCTCTCTCCTCTCCCACCAAAAAGGTATGATGAATGGAAGGAAAGGGCAACTGTCATGTGTGATAGCATTTGATAACAAATGTTACAGTACAATCTGGTAAGAAATATCTGCTTTTCCTTTATCATGAAACGTTACCAAGGAGCCTTCCTTTGCTGAAGGCGCTGACATTGAGAGACTAGGCTTTTGAGCTGTGCACTCCTTGCATTTGTTCTCCAGTTACAAGCTGCTAGGGACGTTTGAGGATTTTTCATTTGGTCTGTCAATCGGTCTAGGTAACCCAAATCTCGTTGCACACACTATGGTGTGAAGGAAAAACAAAACAAAACACTTGATTCACTTCCCATTTTGGGTTTGCTACTTATCTAACTGTATGACCTTGGGCAAATCACTTCACCTCTCCTTTCCTTCGTTTCTTTGTGTGTAAAATAAGGAGGTAGGACTAAATGATTCCAAAGTTCCTTTTTGACTCTTACTGTCTAGGTTTCTAAATTTTATATTTACTAATAAATGACTTAGTAACATTGCAAGCATAGACATAGTGTCATAATTGGTTAAAGCTAAAGCAACATAAAAGGTGGATAGATCTTTCTATTATTGTTAATTGGTTGTAATTAGGGTGAATGGTCTTGAGAAGAAGGTGCAATCCACAGCTGTAGGCTCCATCCCAATTATGGCTAAACTTCAGGCCATAACTTACTACGCCCTGCCCTCAGCCATGTATGCCAGATGTCAGCATCTGTCTTCCTCTCTGTAGGGTCCAGGCTTTCCACACAGTTATGCATATTTCAGCAGGAGTCATTTGTAGTTGTGGACTTAAAGCTGACTTTATTCTCTCATTTTATCTTGTATATATCTTATTTGTACATAATTCTTCACATTGTCTTCACTTGCTTTGGGTATCTGACTTATGTTCTCCTGTTTCCTTTGCCATCTTACTTTGGTTGCTTCACATGTCCAAGTTCCTGTTCATTACTTGGACCTTTGGCCACCTGCCTTGCTCTGCCGTATTGTTTTTTTGTCCAACTTGCTCATCTGGCTGGGGCTGAACCATGTTGATGTGTGAATATGCCCTGACTTTGCCTGAGGTCTGGTCCTTACCTTTGATGCCTGGTTCCAGGCCTTTGGCTCCATCTGGAACTTCTAAGTCTTGCTCACATCCAACTCATTTCTGAGCCGATTCCTTATTCTGACTTCCTGGCCTGTCCCTAGCTCTCTCAGGCTCGGCTTCTAGTCTTTCAAACTGTGACTCAATGCCACCCACCATCCAAGCCCTAACACAAGTTAAAATCAAGTCATTTAGTTATGATGAGCACTTGGGGAGTGGGTGGAGGCATTACATTTGTGTATACATATATATAGACATACCTGTAGGTATATCTTATGTGTAAATCTGTGTGTTGTTTGTGTGTTATGTCCCACATTAGACCATGAACTCCTTGAGAGCAGAGATTCTTTTGCCTTTCTTTACATCCTGTGGCGCCTAATGCAGTGCCTGGCACGTAGTAGGCACTTAATAAAATGCTTGTTGACTTGGCTTAACTTCTTTGCCTGGGGTTCCTGGCCTATAAAATGAGGAGGTTGAATTTAATGGCCTCAAGTTCTGTGCTTTCCAGTCCTGTGTCCATGATCCTGTAAGCAGTGGAGAGGGTCCTTATCAAGTCATTAACCTAAATAGCAGGGATATAGAAATACGCATCTCTTTGTAAGTTGAAAGCATTAAGGCCATCCTTGGAGAAGTCTGTGAAATTATCCAGCATGGATCACAAAAACTATATATTCCTAGTAAAACAAACTTGGATGAAGGTTGTTTCTTGGTTGAGCTTTTTTTTTTTAATTGATGGTGTGACATGGGAGATACTGGCACAGGACCACCCAGCATGGTGTGCCCACATCAGAGAAGGTGCTGTGTTCTCTGAGCAAAGCAGAATTGAGACAGCTCACAGGAAATGCAGGACATGCAAATTTAAGAGAATCCACTCCAAATGTTCACACAGACAGTTTGTGCCTGACCTGTGGTAGAGCATTCTAAGCTCATATTGGCCTGATCAGCCGAAGTCAGACACACTATGACTCTAGCATAGTGAAATCATTTTGGTCTTCTTCTCTTAAGAACAAAGGATAATAACCAACCATTTCCTATGAATCTGGGTACTGGGAAAGATATCTACAGAATTAATTCAGTGAGCTTCCTTTCCATTCTCTGTTTAAGGTAACTGTTTAACAACAAATTGTTTAGGGGAGCTAGGTGGAACAGTGGGTAGAGCATCTAGTCTGGAGTTAGCAAGACCTGAGTTCAAATCCAGCCTTAGACACTTACTATCTGTGTGACCCTGGGCAAGTCACTTAACCCTGTTTGCCTCAGTTTCCTCATCTGTAAAATGAGCTGGAGAAGGAAATGGCAAACCACTCCAGTATCTTTGCCAAGAAAACCCCAAATGGGGTCACAAAGAGTCGGACAGGATAGAACAATAACAACAGATTTGACCAGCTACTTAATATTAAACAATTGTGTTCTTTGCATCAGTTTTGTAATGACCTTTATATTGAATGCTGGCTGACCTTTTCTTTGTTTCTTTCCCATATAATAGACAATGCAGTTTCAAGGAAAGCTCAAGTTTCTGTTTGGACAAAAGAAAAAGACGCCATCAGGAACACTCCTGCCTCCCCAGCTTTCATTGTTTTGTGTGGTGGTACCAATCCTGCTCCCTTCTGTGACAGAAATGAAAATGAAAAATGTGCTTCTGAGAGCCAAGCAGAAAGCCGATGTGGCAGCCTCCACGGACGCCAAGTAAATGCCAATTTACTCTTTATTAGGATCAACAGCAGTAAATAGCAGTTATGCATTGAAATATGTGGAAGAACGCATAATGGCCCTGTGAACAAATGTTTTGACCTATTAACATAACTTTCAGTGTCTCTCAAGATTTGGGGTATATCCCTGTCTCATTTTCAACAGGAAATCAAAAAGATAAATTTGAGTAGTTGTGAGATGAGTAAGTTAAGTAAGCTGGGAGGAAGAAAACAACACTCCATGTTTAGCTCAACAACTCAGAGACTGAGTTATTATTTAATAAGCAGTTGTGTTCATGGAGAGTCTGTGGCCAGCAATTTCCCCTTCTATTCATAGAACATTGCCTAAAGAAACGCTCAATTCACATAAAAAAAGATGAAGAAATTCTGCAGCAATAAAAAGGACAGAAATAGTTTTTAGTTTAGTGGTCTCAAACTCAGATAGAAATGGGAACCACTAATATGTACATAAGGATCCCTGCAGGCTGCATATTGACCAAGTTTCAAACTGTAATGCTATGTTTTATTATACTTTTACTTATTTTGTTAAATATTTCCCAGTTACATTTTAATCTTGTTACAGCAGCCTTAGGAAATGTGCCATGGGCTGCATGTAGAATTCTTGTTGTTTAGTCATTTCATTCGTGTCTGACTCTTTGTGACCCCATCTGGGGTTTTCTTGGCAAAGATACCAGAATGGTGTGCTATTTCCATGTCCAGCTCGTTTTACAGATGAGGAACTGAGACAAACAGGGTTAAGTGACTTGCCCAGGGTCACACAGCTAGTAAAAGTTTGGGGCCAGATTTGAACTCATGAAGATGAGTCTGCCTGATTCCAAGCCCAGTGCTCTATCCTTGTTTCTAAAATTTAATCTAAAGGGTGCTGATAGTAGACCAGCCTGTCCTTGGGAAGAGCTTTTCAGAGGATTAAGGATGCTCCCAAGTTCTGATATGGTCGGCAGTTCAAGAGAGACAAAGGACATGAGACCAAGGACAGTCTTCTGATACTAATCCTTATTTTCTGTAATACAGTTGTATGGTTCCACTTTTAACTAAAAACAAATAATAAATTATAATCACTGCTTTTCTGCTTCATGCTTGCTAAGTGTGGTACAGAAGCATTGCCTGATTGGAACGATATTAATCAACTGATACATACAAGACACTGGGTTTGGTTAGACTTACCTACTCACTGATAGGTAGCTAGTTCTTACAGTAGATGGAGTGCTAGGCCTGGAGTCGGGAATAATGTCAGGAAGACTTCATCTTCCTGCATTCAAGTCTAGCCTTAGACACTTACAAGCTGTGTGACTCTGGGCAAGTCACTTTACCCTGTTTGCCTCAATTTCCCCAACTGTAAAATGAGCTGGAGAGAGAAATGGCAAACCACTCTAGTATCTTTGCCAAGAAAACCCAAAATGGGGTCATGAAGGGTCAGATATGACTGAAAAAAAATGCCTGAACCTGATTACTAGCCAGTCCTCGTCCCATCCCTGAGCAGAACGACTTTCCTCATTTCTTTGCACTTCTTTTTAGTGCTAGTTTCCCTCTACTAGTACTGTCTTTTCAGTCCAACACATGCTAGTTTGCAAAACTATTTTGTTGCAAGGAAGAATCTTGGGGTACAAATGTTTTTCATGCCAAAAAAACATAGGTATACAGTTCAGTTGGATGGGGAGGTCCCTTCCTGGCTGAGTTTTTTTTTTCCTTGTCTAGCCCACTGTCTGATTTTTTCTTCCCATTTCCTTTCTACTTCTACCTCAAATCCAACCTGGTGCTGCAGTTGTACGCTGTGAAGGAAGCAATATCCTTTCTGGCTGGTTTCTTCAGGTCTTAACTCTGCAAGGCCAAACTGTACTTTAAGGCACCTCCAATACTCTGAACAGCGATGTGGCCCTGATCCCTTGGACTGATCTGTTCAGGTTTCCAGCCTCTCAGTTTGCAAACTGGACTCCTTCTATTTTGGTCCTTGACTTGTTCAATCCCTTCTCTTGCTGCTCACGTTTATCCTTCACTTTATGTCCAGGACAACTAGCATTCAGTTTCGTCCATCCCTACATTTCTCGCATCTATGTCCTGGCTTCATTACAGATTTACATATGAAATGTACATTTACATTAAATATACAAGGTTGATTCCTGTTTTCAGCAAAAATTAGTCCAGAGATGCCTGTATAACTGTGAGGCGGCTGATCATTCCAATATACTTCTCTTTATAAATTATTCTTTACAGTTCAACAAACTTTATTAAATATGCACCATGTGCAGGGCACTGAGCTGGATAATGGAAGTGAAATGACCAGCCAGATAGCCTGGGAGCCAGGCCATATCCCACTTACTACAGGCTAGCTATTTTACTGTCATTTATAGTCACTTGGGACTATAATTACTCACAGTTTGATGAGATTTTACAAATAAGGTAAAATGAGGCACCAAAAGGACAAGAAACATATTGAATTTCCTGAGTTCCAAGTTTCTGCTGGTCTGATGAGTCAGGGTTCATATTCAGTCTAGAAGTACTAGAAGTAACTGTGTCTGTGATTACTCATGGTTGTAGTTTAAAGTGAGGTTTACCAGGGGCTCATGAACATTCAGGACAATGCTCCAGAGCTGAATGGTCCACTGAATAAAAGCACATTTATATAGTGTTTTAAGGTTACATATATTATTTCATGAGACAGGTACTATTATTATACCAGTTTTTCTGATAAGGAAACAGGTTATAGAGTTAAGTGACTTGCCCAGGGCCATACAGCTAATAAGTGTCCAAGGCAAGTTTTGAACTTGGGTCTTCCTGATTCTAATTCTAGCCTGCTGTCCAGTGTGACCCCTGCCTGCCTTCTGTGAACCTCAGTGCTTAGAAAAGCAATAACATTACCTTCCTGGCCCAGGGAGAACAGCTGGCATGGTAGTAATCTTCCCAGGATGTTGGTGTAGAATGTATCCTTGGAGGAAGCTGGAGCTTCAGACAAGAGGCCTGTGTCTGCCAAACTGAATGGCTACGAACCCATTGGAGGACTTAGGCCCTTCTGAGTCTGTCTCTGGGCTGTCTTCCTGAAGGTTCTAAATCCAAATTGAATTTTGACTAAGCTTTCACCGTTAAGTGGGAGTTTACAAATTTGGGGAGTTGAGTCAAAAAGCTAAATGCACTTTTAACCCTGCAGCTTGAAATGGCTGTGAGGAAACAGTTACAGAGGGAAAGCACTGGGCTTTGCATTCCCAGTTTCATCAACCCCACACTCATTCTAGGGAGAATTTTTTCTATTAAAATGAGTAGAACTAGTTACAGCCTCTTATTTCCTCCAAGCCTTTTCAGGATTCCTTACTAGTCATGGAAGTAGCCAGATGCCCACAGGACGCAGGCCTTAAAGAATTCCTAGGGGCAGCTGGATGGCACAATGGATAGAGCACTGGCCTTGGAGACAGAAGGACCTGAGTTCAGATCCAGCCTTAGACACTTACTAGCTGTGTGACCCTGATTACCCCTCCCCCAAAAAAAGAATTTCTAGAGGGGGACCTAATGGGAACGAGGTAGTGATTAAAGAAATCAGCTGTACTCTATATCTTTCTTCAAGTCCCATTTGTGTTTAGTTCTAAAGGAAATCAGTAGGGGTAAGGAAGCTCTCTATCCATGTTTGCTATGGGTAGGCAGATGCTTATGTTCTCTTGACCTGATAATAGGGGACCTCAAATGAGGGTGAAACAGACTAGAGTAATGAGATGAACCCCACACTGCAGAATGAAGCATCTCTCTCGCATGGTGTACCTACTTCTGCCTTCTTCTAACCAGAAACTTGAGATAGGAGAGGATCAAAAGAATTTTTTTTTTACTGGCCAAAGATTTAACATAAATGAGAAAACAAATAATTATAGCAAACTAAAATGATAGACTCATAGATTAAAAACTGGAAAGGATGTCAATGACAATTTAGCCCAACCCTCTCATTACACCTATGAGAAAACTGAGGACAAGAGAGCTTATGTGACTTGCCCAAGATCACACAGGTGGTAAACATGAGGGCAGGATTTGAATTAGGTGCTCTGACTGGAGTCGGTACTCTTTCAACAGCATCTTGCTGTCTTCCATATTTAGAGTTTAGGTATGTGGTTGCCGTATGTCACTAGAGCACTAGCAACTTTGGTTCTCGGGGCAAGCAGCACAAAATGCAGCCTAAAATCAACTTTGCATGAATTCATTCGAGCCAGAAAGGGAATTACTACAGTGGTAAACAGATGGGTATATCTGTTCTAGCTAATTATTCTTCTTAACTGGATGCAAAGCTAGTTATTTATATCTGTTGAAGAACCAAATTGTTGGGGTAGGTAAGTGGTGCAGTAGATGGAGCACCAGCCCTGGAGTCAGGAGGACCTGAATTCAAATCCGGACTCAGACACACGACACTCACTAGCTGTGTGACTCTGGGCAAGTCACTTAACCCCAATTGCTTCACCAAAACAAACAAACAAGCAAAAAACCAAATTGTTAAAATTTGAAATGTAAGTAGTTCAGAACAAAGCTCCAGTTAGGCAATAAATATTTATTAAGTGCCTGTTCGTTATTATTAAGTGTGCAGTACTGTGTTAAAGGCTGTTTCCTACCAATGACTCAAGCCTTTTCTTCTATATCTCTTTATTCTCTTTTTAAATCTGATTTTTCCCTAGTTGGTAGATGTGGTTTGATGAGGTTATTGATTTCTCCACCTTCTAGAATCTTTCTTTTACCACACAAGTCTGCATTGGGGAACCCGGGACCTTGGTACCTGTATGGTACAATCCCTCCACTTCTATTTTCCTTCATGAAATTCAGGTCTGTGCCTCCCTCACCCACAACTAGTTGGCCGTGGCCTGGAAAAGTTCTTCCTTTTCCTTCCTAAGACAGAAAAGGCTCTTCCTGCTCTGGCCTTCCATGTTATCTCCTCCCAGTGTTTTTGTGCCTTTAATTCCCTCACCTCACATCTGAAAATCTCAGTGCTTAAGCGTTCCTATTCTGCTGCCCACT